TGTCACAAGGCATTTGTGGTTCTTTGTAATAGGGGCAAATGTTGTCCATCGAGGTAACCACTTGTCATTTGTCATGACCCATCCCCATTCATATGGATCAGGAAAGGTTGGAGAACAGATGAGGGCTTGTCCCCAGATGTGGCCTGCCTGGTATGCTGCGCGTAATGTGTGTTGTAGCAATGCATCCTTTGTAGGTGGTAAGTTCTCAAAATGCCTGCCTTTGTAGTAGAACAATTCCATGCGTCCTGCACTGACTGATGTGATGTGCAAGGACCTGTCGTAAAGGCGAACGATGAATGCCTCTACATAGGACATGACATCATCATCGATTCTACTAGGGATTGTTGACAGGCGCTGAAGTGTTGCAGCGAGTTCTGGGAATTCCTGCCAAACAGTCCATTCTGTTCTCTTGCCTTTTCCTTGAAATGCTGAGGTGGTGTCACAGCTGGTCAGAGAATGAAATGCTAGAAGAGCTTGAGACTTGGATGGTCCCAACTGCATAGCAATGGGGTGAACTGGGATATGTCTGTATGATTTGCCGGATCCAAAGGCTACCCAGAGCTCATCAAGGTTGAGATCTTGGAAACAGGACACAGCTATTATCACCACATCACTGTCACTAGCACGAATGGTGATGTGTTTAAATCCTTCATGTGTCGCATCTGCAACATGGAAAACATTCTTGAATCAGCTTCCTCGTGAATATAAGGTGATAAAGCGCGAGTACTTGAGCGAACAGGGAAGTGAGAACATTCTCTCCGAAGGTTGTAACAACTTGCTTGCCCTCTGTGTACATCTCTTGCATTTTCTCTGCTAACAGAGAAAACAGGTCTGTTTTGTTCTCATCGTCGACACGTAAAAATCCTTGCCAGTTACTCGCTACTTTGGTTGATGATGTCACTCGACACCGCATGCCACTGCCTCTGGTTTTCCGAGTGCTGGATTTGAGACTATTGTGTTTGTAGACATCCCACGACACACCCTTTAGCCATGACATCAAAATATGGAAGAAACACCTGGTCTGCATAATCCTGAAATGTTGATGCTGTACCAGGTCTCAGTGATTGCACGATGAAGGCCCCATCTAGAATAACAACATCAGAATTAGGGGAAGTATCAGAAGTAGAATCTCAATATCACCTTCGAGGCACTTTCAGATTTTGTTCCTTTGTGCATCTGACCCTGAGAACTGAGAGATGGTGGTACATGTAATATAGTGTTCTCATGTGCAAACATTTCTTCACCAATGTCCCTTCCTGAGTGCCCAGAGAGCATCATTTTTAAATAAACTGGGTTCGTTCTTCCTTCATGGAAGCAAGGTCGGATTTTTCTTTACGTTGTTGAGCTTTTATACCGAAAAGAGGCAATCTATTCAGGTGAAAGGTGGAGGTCCATGGGAATGTGCTGGATGAAACCCTTTCTGAAAAGAATGTATCATACTTATCTTTTCCAATTTTTGTGATGTTTCTCACAGAGCTCATAACATCACCTGTCATGATTCTGGACCTGTCAAGAGAAATTAATTGCCCAGATACTTCAAGGAAAGGATTTCCCACAACAGAGAATGCACTGATTAAGCCATTCACGTCTTCTCTGAAAGTCTCTCGGCATTTAAGATACTGTTCAAGGGCTACAGGATCCTCAGTCAGTCCAATTATTCCTCCATCATCCTTCAGAGAACCGATGAGCTGCTCATGAATTTGGTCGAAGGTAATGCTAGTAAATGCTCGAATGTATTTCTCGAAGGCCACACCTATCTCGTAGATGAATGGGTAGATTGCGGACATCGTGCATGAGATCAAGAGCATACACTCATGGCATGAGATGTTCTAAAGTCACTAAGTACAGATCAAACGTTGCAGTCCGAATCAACTTCACAAACTGTAGAACTATCAGCTGCAGCTCAAGAGTCTGGTGCCAGTACAAGAATTGCGGTTCTCGGTCTTGCTGATACCTAATCCAAGCATACAGTTCCGATGGCTCATCCTCAAAAGTTGTTGTCAGGTATTCGTGATGGGCTTGTCTCAGTAAACTATACAAAGCAAGAGCTGTGACTTGGTGCATGTAGCGAGTGCGGGTCAGATTTGTCACCTACATCATAGAATCAGCAACTCCACTTGAAGCCACACCACTGACTGACAGAAGTGATGTCCATCCACTCCCTTCCAGCCACTCCCCTAGGCCCTTCAAATAGCATTTTCTCAGTGTGCTGCGCCCCAAGCATCAGTACAAACTTGTCCTCTCCCAAGACATCTGAAAATTTCCACGGAATCTTCTTGACCGGGGTCTGTCCTGAATTCAGTTGCTTTGTAACAGCAGCAACAATATTCATCCCATGGAATACCATCATTGGACTGTGAGCTGATTCCCTAAAAAAGGGAAGCATCTTCAATGGGGTGACTGGTGAAAGCGGAGGTCCAAGATTGTAAATTTGAAATATGCAAAATATATATACTTCATAATCACATCATGTGACTAACATATTGAATAAATTAAAAAAACCGGACCTTCTACATCCAAAATTTTGATTTCGATGGTTAAGGCATCCCTAAAAACATATTTTGACACCATTTTCATGAAAATCGAAGATGTGTATGACAATTTAGAGTTTTTTAAAATTTTGCTTGATTTTTCAATGGCGGCCATTTTTAATATTATGCAAATTAGAGTGAAATTATGCAGATAGAGCTTGTGTCCGTTTCTCAAAATTCTTAAGTTTTGTTAAAGGTACGTGTGTGCCAAGTGGCATGTTCCTACTAAAATTTGCAGTGGGGGTGGAGTTAGGGAGCCCACTAACAGTGGGATCCAGTTATAACGAGAGAGAAGGGACTGGTGCGAAATATCCGTTATAGCAGGATTCTCGTTACATGTTTAAGGGATCCAGTAATAAATTCAAGGAAAATAATAAAGTAGCTCTACACTTTGAGTTTGGGGTTCTGTTTATTTCTTTTTGTTATCTCCCCTGATGATGATTTTGTTCAGCATGACCTTAAGGTCTTACTTGACCAGAATTCGAATTAGGTTTCTTTCTCTAGCTCTAGCGATGATGACAGCTCGGCGTTGGCGATCAGAAAAAAAGGACTCTAGGCTAACTCGCCTGCTGTGTTGTCCCCCACCCCACCACATTCTGTGGTGCGCTCCATCTCATTTTGGGCACATTGGGTACACACCACACCCTGCCCACGTCACACATTCGCTCCATCCATCACAGCACTATGACCTCTCCATCCTCGCATCGGAGAAGTGAGAGGCAAGGTAGGCCTTGATAATCTATACCAGGCTGGCCTATCACGAGATGCGTTCTGCTTGTCTGCACATGCCACACCCTCCCCACTCATTCGCTCTGGCCTTCATTGTAAAATTGTTGGCACACGTGGGCTCTCCCATTCTTTGTTTCGCTAGATCACCAACAAGTTTCTCAACTGGCGAGGTTTTGTATTATCGGCCTATGCACAGTGCACAGCAGCCGCAATATTTAGCAAAAAAACGGATTCGCGTGGTTGTCTGATTGCGCTATAGCAGTATTATACTTACAAAGATAAAAAAAGGGAAAGGGGAAAAAAAACGGGGCTTTAGAATAGTGTCTTCATAACAAGACTTCTCGTTATTTCAGGACTCGTTATAAGTGGACTCCACTGTAGTAGGTTATGTAAGAGACCATCGCATGGCAATGTTATTGACGGTTAAGAAGAAGACTGTATTTATCTCTGTTTCTAGCGTATAAAAGAAATGCTTTTCATTCCTTTCTCTATTTATCACTTTTAATCTTACAGTCCATTGTACAGTATTATACATGGCAAAGTGAATACAATGATTTGAATGCAAATGTTTTACATTCTATTCATCCATAGAGATGCAATACAGATATTTAGCAGGTGGGTTGCTTCAGTCCTGTCTATCAGTGTCAGCTGAACCTGGTCAGGTAGATATACTACACCTCAGCAGAAAGACAGGGTTACTCTTGAAATATATTCCAAAAGAACGAATTAAACCCATGTCTTTTGTGCACCAGACAAAGAGCCTAACGACATCACAAGTGTAGAGGCCTAGATCTATACATTAATACCATGAACTAGAATCCGACAACAATATCTCGAAAGTATGTTGAAGTTGAAAAGAACCATAAAGGTGGGCCTGTGAGGAGAGTGACCTGAAGCACAAATAAAAAAATAAGAAGAAGACGGTCAACAATTACGACCCACTACTGGTAACATCACGACAGGAGTACCTGGCAACGTCTATTCTAACACCGGTCAAAAAACTCTGCTGTCAGCACTCTCCCCCCCCCCCCCCCCCGGTGACAAATTTTTTTGTGATAGCATTGAGAAAAGTGTCTATACACAATCTGAAATTACACTCATGCTCCCAGATGCTTATTCAATGTTGACCAATAGCTTTTACCCATCCTGTCTCTTCTGTATAAATTCCAACAATCTTTCACTTACAATCTGAAAACATCTTGAGAAGGAACTACAAAAAGACTCCCAGAACTTAAGAATTGAATAGAAAAGGTGGAGAGACGCATGCTCCAAAATGAAGTCTGAACTTGGCAAACAGCCAAAATCTCTTTACAAGTCAACAAACAAAGAATCAGACTCAAAAGTGTACTACAAGACAGTTCCCTCCTCACAAAAGCATCATTGTAATCTATAAACACATCAATATAATCAATTCATTTTGCCATAAGTGCAGATTGAAATGTTATCATTTTTTCTTATATATATCTCAGACAGAGGGGCGAACCGTCTTAAAATCTTATAATGCACAGTCGTTGATAAACTCTCCTCACAAGAAAATACACAAGGTAACATTAACCTGCTGGCTGCAAGGCTAAAGCTTTTTTGTGTATACGTCAATACATAATCTACAGAGTCAACACTTGACATATCTAGCTTGTCATACTATCCTTTAAATAAGCTAACAATAAAAGATGAAACAGAGACAAAGGGTAATTCAAACTCATTCCATGCCATGCATACAAAGTTTGACACACTCACCAGTCTTTTTTTATCGCAAATCTTTATTCAGCATTCACAAAAGTTTTGTACTTGTTTTCAAGACATGGATTTTAACTCACAAAAAGTCATGGAAGAAACAATTTAATTAATCCCACACTAGAAAGTATTTAATAGTTTTAATACACTGCTACTACTATTGCAAGAAAACACTATCCTAAGTCAAGAAAAAAAAGCTGCAATATATGATGGCTTAGGTATTTTGATCACTGTACCACATAAATATGCAAGGCCTAGTGTATTTCCTACTCCAGAATGCAACTTTGAATGAAGGTAAGCATTTTTCTTCAAAGAGTAGCATGGAACAGAGTTACAAAAGCTTGAAAACTAATTTATAACAATAATTCATTCTTAACATAGGAAAGAAAGAATTGAACATTAGGAATACTCTAGCATATTCACTTTCACTGGGTCTAAGTGAATCTGTGGCTCTTCTCCAGGGGGAAAGTAGGGGGGGGGGGTGTGTGTGGTATGCTCTACAGTTTTTCCATTAAAGTATTTTCCCCGAGAAATGACTCATCCAATGAGATGCCATCATCACTCTTATCAAACTAGTCTGTCCACCTCTGCTTTCTCAAAATCAGCCACCCTCAGAGTGATAAAGAAAAGGTATACATTTTAGAGTGCATTAGCAATTTTTTTTAATACACAGGTTTTCCAGACTGTTTTGTTTGTTGGCTTGAGAAGATAGAAGCACACTGTCACAATAATGACCATTTAGTGTTAGGAAAATGTAAGACAGACAGTAACAACAGAGGGAAAGTAAAAAAGTAAGACCTAGCAGTGGCGCTCTCCAACCATCCGCTGTTAAGACTGAGGCTTGACAAGAAAAACCACCTAATCAATACAGAGAAATATACCAAGCCTACTCTTTGACTGACATTTAATTTGATTATTTTTCAGTAGGATTCATTCTTTCACGTAGAATTCACATCAGTGTCCATTTTTCATTAGCTGAGGGAACCCCCTTGTGACATTTTATGTGATAAAATCCAGCAGGACACGCACAGAAAACATGGCTCCACATTGCAGTCAACTCGGCACAGAAGGAAGGACAACAAATTGGTTACAAAAACTAGTTCCACTGAGGCATTCATACATATTATCTATGCCCTCAAAAAAATCACATTCACCAGTGATATAGAATGTAATGTACAAGAACATACTATACCAACTAACGAAATACCCATTCACAATCATATAAATAACAAGCCAAGAAAATTTATTTTTCTTACTTTACGTCAGTGTCAGGTCACAGTACTCACCTTTATAATAGAAAAGCAAAAACAAAATCAATTTGAACATGTTCTCACTTTCGATAAGAAGCTTTCACAAAATGATATGATGGCTTTGTCATTGTGACATGGTGTTTCAGCTTGAATTACAGCAGCAAGAAAAGCACCTTGACTTCTTTCCTTTTGTCAGTTGATCCAGTTTGGCCAGTGCAGACTTCTTATTGTTATTGAACAAATACGACAAACGAAGATTATATATCGCAGTCTAATCTGAGCATTTGTCCATTGCTTTTGCAAACCATTCTGGCTCTGCTGTGGAAATCTTTTCAATGATGGTGTTGACTTGGAAACATAAACTCTGAATTTGACGGTCCCACATGGGTAAAGTTTCTCTGGCTGAAAAAAGTACAAAAGGGAAACAAAGATTTAATAGAAAAAACAAAGAAAGAAAAAATCGATGGGATTTCAACAAGTAAAGAGGGCATGAAATTGCATCTTGGGCACCATATCATATTGAGAGAGAAAAAAAGTTCAAAAACAGGGATTTTCATAAAGCTTGCAAATAAGAATATTTGAACTCCAGATGACAAACAAAAGAGAAGATGAATTATGAGAGAAGCAAGACATAACATTTTCTGTTCTTGATGTTTCAATTACATTAGACACTACAAAAAGCAACTTTCACAAGGCAAAGAAAACCAAAGAGATCAAGACCAGTGCCAAATCATACTTTGATCTCTGTACTTAAACAGAAAGAAGACAACATGGCAGAAACATGATGAAGAAAAGACACAATGTTCAAAAGCCAGACTTTTATTAGGTAGCGTAAACACGGCCACGGGCACTCGCAGCCTTCTGAGAGCGTGGTTTCTGCGAAATCGGGGTAATTCAGATCACTGTTTCTTTGTTCTTTCGCTATAAAACACAAAATTCTGTACACCTCGTAGAAATTCAGCTTTTCTTCATTAAACTGGTGTAAGTTGTTTGTATGTCTGAGTATTAGGAGCTGTAGAATCGCTGTGGAAAGCGAAGCCCCTTGTGGTTGGAATGTGTGGTCCGCCGGTTAAAAAATTGAAACGCGTGCATTCAAATGCTTCCCAGAAAAAATTGATGATTAAATGCCGTCTTTTCATGGGTGGAACACTGTAGAGCTTTTTTAAAAAAAATTTATAGTAGAGGGTTTTACGGCGCTCGCAACGGCTTAGGTCATATGAGCGCCATGTAGAACTTTGAAAGGGCTTTCTCGTTGTATATTTTTTACTTTTGGCGTTTAAATAGAAAGCTTTTAAAAATAGTTTTCAAAGATCAATTTTTAAATGAAATGTGTAAAATACTGGCTCAAAAAAGGTCCCAATAGAAAGATAAGTTCATTTTCCATTAGAATAAAGTAATAGGCTTGGAATAATTTTGCATTAATCCTTCTGCGAAACTCAAAAAGCATGTGATCCCCCCACGCGGGGAGCACTTAGCATATTACAGTATAGAGCCGATTCTCCCGCCGCAGGGGGCCGATGCCGCGCCGGCCGGGTCAGCGTTCTGTGTTTTTGTCGAAATAACGACAGATATCGTGTTTGAGGTGATAAAATACTGACTTGCAATGATCTCACAGTCTTGAAAAAAATTAGGCTCCATATCTATGTTATAGTGATTGTACTCTGTTAATAATAATAATAATAATTGCATTTATATAGCGCATATCCATGCTCAAGAGCATGCTGTATGCGCTTTACAACTATCATTACCCCAGCAGACCCTCTGAGAACACTCAGAATCATTCTCAGCTTCCGTGGAAGCATACAGTGCAAGCTGCGGATTTCACGCGCTCAAACACTATCAAACTGACAAGATCGTTCACTGTCTATAGGCGGGTACCCATTTCCACCTGGGTGAAGTGAGGAAAATTTGTGCAAAGTGCCTTTCCCAAGGGCACAACGTCGGGCCCCAGACGGGATTCGAACCCACGACCTTACGGTTGCGAGTCCGAGAGCCTAACCACTAGGCTACTGACGCCATAATGTGGAGATGTTTGGTGCACTTGGTACTCTTTTATTACCCGTCAAACATGGGGCTGCAGCCAGTTAGCGACTTAAGCAAATTTAATAATCTTTAAAACAGCTACTATTTTCTTTAAAATTGACAGAGATTAAAAAATGGTATCAAAATTCTCAGGAGATATTGGCCTTTCATATAGAACAGATAAATTTGGCCTTCAGCGACTTTGAAAATTTTGTTTCTTGTACCTACTTTTATCACCACAAAACTTTCAGAGACTAACAAAAAGCCCCAAAACAGAAAGAATATTGGTTTTCATATTTGACAAAATGAAATTGCACTACATTTCCAGCATTATAACATTAATATTACCTTCAAAATGAACAGTTGAGTCTATCTGATCCACATATCCATTCATACGCCCTTCTGTAATCATCTGTGAAGCAATGCTCTCAGCCTGTAAAAAAATAAAAACCAAAAGTGTATTAAAATACTCCCCATTTCTCCTCTTGCATTTAAGAAAGACTCTGCAATGCATCAACTTGACACAAGACATGTTTTGTTGCTTTTTAAAATATATCCATTACAAACTAATGGCAAAGCCTACCAGGGTTGCATTTCTAAGGACATGCAACAGTAAATAACCAAGTTCAGAAATGTAACTCGGCATGCAAATTTGTTCTCTAAACTTTTTTGAAGAGCTAGCGGCAATCAACAGAAATGTTCAAACCACTGTAAATTGACAGAAATCGGGAGGACTGGGTGCACTTACAAAAATACAGAAGAATCATAACAGGACATAACATGCACAAATAAATGTAGGTGTTTTTGTTTGTACATATTATATAGGTCTCTGAAAATGAGGGAGAGAGAGTATGAGCATGTGTGTCTGCCTGGGAATGTGTGTGAGTGAGGAAATGACAAGACAGGTAAGTCACCTTGGAAGGTGGAATCTCCAACAATGCACCAAGTTCCTCGAAGGAAATGTTGTTGTAGAGTTTGCTGGCAGACAACAGGTTATGTTCGGTGACCGCTCGGTTGAGAATCGTGGAGCCTAAAAGAGAATTTTGACAGTCAAATATTTATAAAAAGTTTGAGCTGATAGGAAACTAAACAAATTTTAATGTGAAAGCACTGGCATTCAAACTAAGTTTAAAAAAACCCAAGAAAAATAAGAAGTGGCTCAAGCAAAACAGTATTTCCTTACCCTCCTCTCCCAAGTTCTGTACATATCAGCAAAACACTAAGTCAGTAAATAAAACAAGCCATCCTTGCATATTCCCTATCAATGATCATGAGACAAAGTATATTTTGAAGGTGCACAACTTAAAACAGCGGAAGTCTATGAACTACACCAGCTAATTTGTTATAAAATAGAATTTTAACATTCTCTCAAACTCAGTGCAATCTTAACTCTTTATCTCTGGCAAGCCGCTCCGGTGAGCGGGCACATTTCTTCATGATGACTTTGAAATTAAATTATTTTTCGGCATGTGCCGAAAACAGGTCTCTTTATTAATTAGATGAAGAACTATCAAAATAGATTAATTTGTTTAGATTAAATGACCAATTTAGTGACGTTTTTGTCATTTTTAGATTTAGTATAGTGGGTTTTACCCTCTCAGACAAAAGAGTTAAAACAGAACTTTACAGTCACAGTGAAATCCACATGAGTAATTATTATACAAGACTAGAATAATAAAAGAAAACATCCAATATTCATTTAATTTATTTCAAGGTCAAGCCTACATTAAACAGACATGTATGTTGCTCGTGAGGCAGAAGCATTATTTTGCCATTAAGGTAATGATTAACTCTTTGAAGACGCAACAGCGGATAATCTGCTGACAGGGGAACCTACCATTGTCGCTATGTCAGCGGCTGACGATTTTAAACGTGTTTATTTGCTAAACTAGTGGTCTATGGTGGACAACCCCTATATCATTGGAAAAGTCGTCCAAAGCCCTATAATTTGGTTGACTTTCTCTCTTTGCTTTCGAATTAGGATAGCTTTGCATCATTGGCATTTGTTTTAGGCCAATTGTTCCGCACGAAATGTCGCAGTTTCTATCCAAAATGGCGAGCTCCCAGCGATGTGATTAGATGCGGACAGAAGAAGCTTTAGAGTTGTTTATGGATGACGGCAGTGACGAGGAGTTAGATTTAGAGTTAGAAGAAGAAAGTTCAGATGATAGTGATGACGAATCTGTACCATAGGTTGGCAGATCTAGATCTACCTGACCTCTAAGTCTTACCTTGTCAAAAAAATTTTCTTTTGAGGGCAACTATAGTGATCTTGCAGCCTTGATCAAGGTAAGACTTGTATTGTGAATGTACGATTGATTGGTAATAGAGAAAAATAGAGAAATTGTACTTTTTAGTTGTGTATGTGCGATTTTTGTATTGCCGATAGGAAAAAAAATGGTGACCTAGTAAAGAAGGGAAAAGAAAGAGCGTCACAGGGTATCGAGAAAGGTAAAGTTGGTGCGCCTTCAAAGAGTCACTGCCGTCATCCATTATGAAACATATGGTATATAGAAACAAAATATCCATACGTACAGATTGGGCATACAAATATTGGAGTAGAATGTGCTTTACTGGTGTCATATTATGCTAGGTCAGAAACTCATTATTCACTTGAGTAGCATGGAACAATTACTGACAACTGAGCATTAAGCCTTCATAAAAACATGCACAAACTATTCAGAAAACAGTCCACAACTGCATGCCTACGAGGACCAATCTTATGTTGATATAATGTCAGTCACAGCTCGTTGCACGCCCCCATCAAGACTAGACTACCGTCATTCGTAGTATAATATTTAAACTCTTGCCTTGCAAGCAGAAGGCATGAATTTTATTTTTTTCAGGGAGACTCATTTCATCAAGTATCTCAGACTATTTGCTGGGAATCTGTATCACACTCAGCCTTGACCGTTAACCCTATTACTGTCAGTTGTAAATTTGCACTGTGTCAGGGGAAAGTCATAGGAATAAGGGTGCACCTTTAGACATTATTAGAAATGAGTACATATGACAAAGTAGTCGGGTACCCGTTTGATGAACAGACTCAAAAGAATCGATCGTCAACTCATTGTGGCATCAGTGCACATTGTTTGTGAACGGAAGCTTCACTTGTTTACAATGGTGTCTTAGAATAAGAAGACGGACTTTCCCAAGATTAGATCAAAACGAAACTAATGAAAAACTGAAAATCAAACTACAGTGACTTCAGACTCCTTAATATAACTGTGCACCCTTTAAATGATTCTGAACCACCATTAATTTTGTCAAATTCGAAAGTTAAGTGGTTTGGAAGTTTTGGGCGACCAAAGTGACGAACTCTCACAAGTATAATATATATAGATACAGAGACCACAAAACTATATATATTTGGAAAGCTCTTTGAAAAAGCTATAACATACGATGACAAAAGTTAGATTTTGGCACTTCAACAAGGTCAGGTAACTCCTAAAATCTGCCAGAAATCTTGGAAATTGCTGAGGACCCAGTGAAGCCATTTTCACCGACAAGCAGAGTCGCAGTCACCGGCGGTTCAAAGATAAATAACTGACAATCTTCTGTGTTCCTCTGGCTCAAAAAGAGTTGTAATAACTACAGGAGGTCCTTCTTTTTAAAATTAGTGCACTTTCATTCAGTATGTGTTTCTGGGGCATGCGAAGACCGTTTTCTGAAACTGCCGAGGACCCAGCGAAGCCAATTTCACTGACTTGCAGAGTTGCGGCCGCTGGCGGTTTTAATATATTGAATAACGGACAATCTTTTTTGTTCCTACTGCTCAAAAAGAGTTCTAATAATTACAGGTAGTCCTTTTTAAAATTAGTGCACTTATATTTACTGTAGGTATTTCCCTGAGGTTGTGTAGATAGTTTTCATAAACTGCCAATGTTATCGGCAGTAACAGTCTCGTGGCAAGGAAAGTGGTGAGCTCATCGGCCCTTGCCAGTAATTACGTTAAGCAGCTGGCCCCTATCTGATCTAAATCGTGACAAAGGAAGCACAAAATGTTAACAATCCTAATTGTACACTTGCCGTCGGGAGTGATGGCCTTCTGATGAGGTAACAGCAATGCAGAAAAGTCAACCAAGTCGCTGCTGCGGATAATTCTGTCCAGGTACCTTAAACACATATAAGAAGAAATGCCATTATAACCAATAAGTCTGGGAAGACATGCTCAACATGAAAGTTCAACACAAAAATTCATTTGTTATTTTATAAGTTGAGAACAACTTATCAAGGGACAATGAAAAACAAAATGGAATACAAAAAAAACCCACAAAAAAACTGAGGAAGACCAAACATACATGTGGTCACTGAATCTGTGCATTAACCATTTAGCTACTCCAAATTTGTTCTAATACACGCCCTGAAATCCTGGAAAGGGGGAAATGATCCTCTAAAATAGCATACGTTTATGATAAAATTCATTGCAAAATGATCTGGAAAAAAAACCCCTGCAGCAATATTCGTAAAAGATAACTGCTTCCAACAAGCCAGCTTTCGCTGTGGCACAGTATGAGCAAATATTTATATTTCCCCATTAAAGTTGTGACTATTAGGCTTTTATTCGTTACCCAATATGATTAATAAAATTTTTTTAATAACTAATTCCCACAGTGACTTAAAAATACGATATTTTTATTGACCGAGGTATGAACTTTCATTGTCTTTGTCTAATTGAAATCGCTTCATGGGTTGAATCTTTATGCATTTTCAGTCTCCTGGGATTTGTCAAAGTTTCAATTCCATAACACCATCCATTTCGTCATATTTTACTTTAAAAATTCACACAAACACTATTTCTGGGTCAATTTCAAACATTTAAAAACTCAAAGAAAGAACAACAACAGAACTTTTGCTTTTAAGCCTCCTTTTCAGCCAATTCTAATCAGACATTCTTCCCAGAATTCACAGACATGCATACCACGGCAGTGTCTCACGCTCTGCTATTGAAACGCCACGCAATGCTGCTCTAGATGCTAAAAGGTTAGCAAAGTTCAGTCTGCATATGAAACATGAACATGAACAAACACTCACATTTTCTCAAGTATATTATATGCTGGTAACTGCTGGCATCTTTCATCTTTGAAGAGAGTTGCTAACATTCGAGATCTCTGTTGTCCTGAGGAGAGTAAAAAAAAAAGAGAATTAATGATGAAATATTCTGCCCTCTCAATCTCATTTCCTACCAACTCATTAAAAGAAACATGAAAGATTTTTTTCTGATACCTGGAGCAAACATGTTCACATTGTTTTACCATCATCTGTGGGAGCACAAATCCAGACTTTAACTGCAGGATGGTAAGGTCCACAGAATGACTAATTACAACATCTGAGGTTTAAAACATATCATGGTCATGCTCTGCAGATAACGATAATAAATACAGATTACATTTATATAGAATAAATCTGCATTCAAAAGAAAGTTCTTTTCATTATATACAATTCATTACTATCCCAGCAGACCTGACAACAACAAGAAATATTACCAGCTTCTATGGAAGCATCAGTACATGCTGCCATTTTACAGGAGTTCAAAAACTCACATGCTGACCCCCTCTTTGTCAGGTTACTGTGCCAATCTCGATGAAGTAGAGAACATTTCTCAAGGACATAATATCAGACTGTCCAAACCAGATTTAGAACCTGAAATTTTAAGGCTAGGAGCACAAAGCAAAAAGAAAGGCTAGGAGCACAGCAGCATAACCTCTAGCCACTCTCCTTCGATAAAAAAAAAAGCACACCGACATCACAAAGCTCATTTAGGGCAAAGAAAAAATAAGAGACTCTAAAGACTGGAAAAAACAGAAAGACAGCGAAGAAAAAAAGGGCTGACCAGTTGTGCTTTTAACTGACTGCTGATCCACTAATGGAAATCACAAAACATGTAGAGTAAGCAAAATAGCAACTTCTGAAATTCTACGTATTCAAATCAGCGGGGGACAACACTCACCTGCAGATGCTAAAACTGTACAAATGAGGGCACTTTTCAAGGCAGTCATACGCTCGTCTTCAGACACCACACTCTTGTAGGAAAGTTCGTTATACCTTTGGGCAGCCTCTATAAACTTCCTTCGGAAGTCTAAGACCCTTGCGTAGCAAGCCTGAAGGAAGGGAAAAAAAAAAAAGCCTATTTCTACAAGTAGCATATTTCACAGGTTCAGCTACCCTTTTATTCGGTGCAAAGTTATTTAACAGATGGGACCTCCAATGTAACATTCATCTTTAACAGGACAAATGTAACTGACTGTGTGGGGAATCATGAACACTCAACTTCAAGAAGACTATAGGTCATCCCATTAAACTTTTAAAATAAGGACAGCATTATGAAAAATGAAAGCAGAAGTATGGAATAGAATAACTGCTGGGTGAGTAATATCTAACATATATCTCTGCTAAGATTTCATTAATGGAACAGCTATCAAATTTCTTTTTTTAAGCAAAAAAACAAAAAAGTAAGAGAACGGGACATCGTATGAAGTCTGATCAGAGGGAAATTAGCATTACTGAAACTTCTAATAGTCATTAATGTTGGTATCAAGATTGGAGAGCAGTGAAAAAGAAGAAACAAAACTAATAGATCTATTGAAGCCTCAATTCTCAACTGGTCAAGCATACCTTGTACAAGATTTGCAGCTCTTCATTCTTTGACTCTGCTTGCAGCAATGATGCTCTGTTTATGTAGGCATCAGCTTGATTTGCATCTTCATCCTCGAGAAACAGTCGAGCTATTTTCAAATATGTTTCCAATTTGTAATCAGGACTGTACTGCCTGAGACAAAAGACAGACATAAACAATGAGAATAAATTCACAGTCTATAAAAGGCTGACAACAAACTTCTTGGAAGCAATGCATTTTAAAGCCTTTTGTCTTTGAAGCTGTGCACTAAACAATATACAAGGGTGGCATGAGCTGTCACCCAAAGCATGGTTTAACCAATCTTCGAAACTTTGGGAATGAAAAACTTTAAAAGCCATGAAAACACAGTAATGCTAAAAAAGAAGGAAATGCTTTCTTATTTGGCCAAATTTTTAAAGCAATTACAGCTGTGTCAGTATTTTTTCACACAGGCCACGTCACTCAGACACAGAGGCACCATTCTCAACACTAGCTGCACAACATGCTACTTCTTATCCTGAAACAAACAGAGCAAAAAAGAAATAAAGACTGAATGAAGAAAAGGAAAAATGAAACATACTTTTGTCCTGTCTCTAATGGAATGCCGACTAAAACATTGGCAGCTTCTCTCCAGCTCTCTTCTCTCTCATAAATATTTGCAAGATGTTGTCTTATAGCAGCCACCTGAAAGGAAAGATGAAGAAAAAAATAACAATACTTGACATCCAAATTCATCTGAAAGGGAGGAAGAAGAAAAAATATACCTAATAATAATAATAATAATAATAATAGATAGCATTTGTATAGCGCATGTCCCCGCTCAACAGCAGGCTCTATGCGCTTTACACTATATTATTACCCCAGCAGACCATAGAACACTCCGAAACATTCTCAGCTTCCCGGGAAGCATACAGTGCAAGCAGCCGATTAAGCGCTCAAACACTAACAAACTGACATGATCTTTCGCTGTCTATAGCCGGGTACCCATTCCCACCTGAGTGAAGTGAGGAAAATTCGTGGAAAGTGCCTTTCCCAAGGGCACAACGTCGGGCCCTTGACGGGATTCGAACCCACGACCTTACGGTTGCGAGTCCGAGAGCCTAACCACTAGGCCACCGACGCCACCAATACTCCTCGTAAATAATCAACCCTCATGTCTTCAAATAAAATCAACTCAGTCACAATTCAGGATAATGCTCTATACAACAATCAATAATTTAATAGAGGCGATGTATAGTTGGTGGTTGACAATAGAAGGCAATAGTGTACATCATGGGACACTAGAAAAAGAAAGTGAGCACTAGCCAGCCAAAGGAGTGATGGTAAAATCCTGAGAGCCTTATGTTACGAGGGGTATAAGACAAAATTCAACCAATTTTATTCTTTTTGTAAAGCAATAGCAAAACTAAATAGTATGTTGTAGGGTGCAGCACACTACCTTTTCACTCTATCTCTATCCATACATTGCTTTGTCTATATTTTGTAATTCTATTCACAAGAATAACAAGCAGTGGAATTAACATCATGAAAATATTGCTTATCTGAATAACTTTAGAACTTATATGTCACAGACAGAAATGATCTTCGTTTAATTACTCCGCCCACATGCAAACATAACGTGAAAAGCAACGCAATAATAACACGAATTGCATCAAAATAATCTGAGTTGTAAAAGACAACAAACTACTAAAATAAAAGCTGGACTTACCTGTTCCTCAAATGAAATGACTCGAGCCTGAATCTTCTCCAGTGTGAAATGAGATACTTCCTTCGCAACATTGTCTGGCACTCTTGGCAGCTGTGTGGTAAAATCTGTCAGAATCTGCCGTGAGATGACCAGACTCACCCCTTCGCTCACCACTGAACAAAACAAAACAAAATCATTCATTCATCTGAACTAAAGAAATATATATCAACATGATAACTGGAAAGTTAATTTACTGAATGCCAGAGTGTGAGATGAAAGGGGCAACCACAGAAATGGAAGGGAGAGAAGTACGATTTAGTCCTCACACAGACTCTCTTGGGCCATCAATTCTGATTATAATGTTGAAAGTGCTTATTTAATGGAGCTACATGTTGCCCTAATAAACAATTCACTTCCAGAAAACCTTGTTTGGGCAAATCGTTTCTCCCTACGGTAATTGATCTCTACAATGGAGAGTTAGTTTTGCTTTCTCAGTTCTGCATCTTTCTCATTTACCTCCATTTGTCTCTCTGCTCGATGACAGTATACCAGTGTACAAGCTAAAAACTCTGACAGACAGTCTGGGAAAAAACCCTAAGAATGAGAATGGTTGTGAATTTTTGTTAAAAGGATATAATGATTCCAGATGCATGTGATTCCTTGGAACTTAGTGATGTGTTGAAACTTTATTCAATTCACTTTGCCACATGTGCATTCAGTAGGCCTAGATTTTACCAGGCAGACTTTATCTAAGTTTAGATTACAGATTAAGTTGTAGCTTTTTACCTGTCAGGATTCAGAGTGGAGAGATGTTCAGTGATCACTGCACATAGGACGTAACTTTTACCTAAAAAATAAGGGCTTCAAAGTTGCCCTGCGTTTTATCCACAAGATACAAATTTAGCTAAAAAAATTCCAAGGAAGGCTGACCATATATACATACTCAGAAATTGTGCGACTAGCATAACAGAAATGAGAAAATCCTGATAAATCATGATGAGAACAGAAATTATCAAAATTGATAATGAGGAGTTTTTAATTCATCCATCAGTACCGGTACTAAAATTCTTTTTACTTTGATTTTCTGGAAATAAAATGGGCAACTTTTAAGTGATGATGCTTGCCAGGACAAAGTTGATGCATTTCGTCTAGTGAATGATCCCCTAAAATATGACTGTCATTACTGTCAAGTCTACCTGTATTTTATCTGTGCATGAAAATGAGTCTAATATTTATATGAGCCTTTGCCAATAGGTGGGTACCTAAAATGTAGCACAGAGGTTTGATGATAAAGTTTTTAATATTTCGTTTTTACATGAATTTTTCTATTCATGTATATCTCCTCCTACAAAAACATGTATTTACAGACCTTCAGACTGCATGCTAGGCTGTGTAACCAGCCTTACGTTACATCGAGTCAAATTTTATCTGACATTACTATGATGACACATTATTTAGAATTTGAAAAAACAAAATTATTTTGATAGTTTTCTTATTGCTTTAATTTTCAAACTTAAGCATGAAGAGCATGTAAAATGGTGAGGCTCATAGAAAAAAGAAATTGTGAATGCCGTTGTGTTTGCACTTGTGTCATTATAGTTATGTCCGAAAGAAATGAAAACCTTTCCATTTTCATTCCTTAGTTTCTTTTTTGAAAATTTGGGCAAACAAAGATTCAGGAGATTCAGCTTGACTCATAATGCACGCTTATGATGAAAAAATGTCACTTTATTCATATTTTACTATGAACCTATGGAAAATATCAAATATCTTTCGAACAAAACCATGCTTGTCATCATTTTGGAACTTATCGTAAATTTGCATCAAATTTTCCTCTCTCCTTGAGACCTAGCCAAACACGCTTGGTCGTATCTAGACCTATCACTAATTGACCATTGGAAAGCAGTGTGATGTTAAACATAACTTGGTTTAAATTTAATTAAATGGGGGGAAACATTTTTCGGACGTAACAGCTTTTTTTTAACATAACAGGCTAGGATTCGATGACTACATAAGAAAAAACTTGAATAAATTCGTCTTATCCAACGTTATTCTTCTCGTCGTCATGTATCGCACAGCAGTACGCTTTAAATGGATTGACAGCAGCAATGCGCGTTCCTCTGGCCCTATTCTTTTTCATTTTATGATCGGTTCTTTTGAGCATACAAATGATGACAGGGCACAAGGCGTTGTGGGATTTCCGTTAACTGAAAAATTATGCACGGCCACAGCCTCAGATTCAGTTAGGGCAGAGAGTAAACATTGAACGATACTATGCTCGTCCCAGGGCCCCAAAATGGCCGATAAAAACGAAGTCACAGGGAATTGAAGTTGCCTTGCGAAATGATGTCTCGAGTTATGCTCGAAAATTAAAATCTAGAAGGCTCACAAAGTAAAAAATTGATACAGATATCTTTATTCCTGATATAGCTGCACAAATAAGGTAGTTATGGTAAGTAGAAGAACGAGTTTCTCAGCGTTTATTTCATTGTTGAACTTGATGAAAGAAAAAGTACGAACTCGACGAGTCACGGTTTGCATTCTAAAAATAGATCGATTTCAGACCTGAAAATAGTTGTAATATTTCTTCTGACAACTCGACTACTATTTTTTACCTCCCATAGCTGAAACATCATACTGAGCACAACATATACAAATTTATAAGCTGTAGCGTCATTTTTGTTAGAATAGGAAAAGATTTTGTGAGGTATATGAAGAAACCCCCACCTATTGGCAAAGGCTCCTATGCCATGTTATACAGTTAGCTTTTAGCAGCCCCAGAGAGGATTGGCTTATTGTGGCTACATATGTAGCCAATATAAGTGGGAGTGTTTATTGGTAAGCCTTTATTAGGTTACTCTTAAACATTTCAGATATGATTACAAAAAACTATCGAGGCTCTTGGAAAAACATAATGTACACATACAGAAACTGTAACTTTTAATTTCAAGCCCCTCCTCATTCCACAGTGCATTACACAATAAATATAATACCGAAACTAACAAAAACACCAACCCCCTCCCACCCCACCCCCCAAAAGAAAAAACCCACTAAATGTCAAGACAAAGTATAGATTTGAGTGAAAAACGCTTCTTACAAGCTTCAATGAAGGCTTGAAGTGAAGGAATCAGTTCAGGTCCGCCGGTCTTTACAACATTTTCCAGGATAGATTTATACCTGTATATAAGAGACACAGATGTCAAAATGTTACAGTAGATTATATTTCATTCAGGGTTGCCGACCTAAAATTTCCCATGTCAGGTAGATTCATGGTCAATTCCAGGTAGTTTGGCTGAAAAAATCAGGTAGTACAAAGTCAAAAAAGGAACAAAAGAGACGAACATAAACAAGAAACGTAGCTACTAGAGTAGGGCTTGCTTCTAATAATGATTACTAAGTCGTATTTTAAAAACTTACATTATTCTATATTTGTGTGTTGTGGGTGTGCATGTATGTGAAGGTGAAGTGTTGCTGAAACGAGATGAATTATTATCATTTTTTTTCATTAACAAACTGTCATTAAAGGCACTTTTCAACCAGTACTGAATGTGGAATTTAAAGCAGGATGACTGCCAAACTGACTTCAAAATCCAAAGCCTGTACCAATAAAGACTGCATTAAAGCATATTTCCTGACAAAGACATGCCAACAGGCCACTGATAAGTCCTGTGTGACTTAGATATACCAGAAAATTTTAACTACTTTTGTCTTGTTTTCATACAGTGATAAGCTATCGTGATGTAAACACACAAGGCCTCCAACAAGGTGCGCTATGCGGCATAGTACTCTAATAGAATTTGACTCCTTGATCATTCCCTCTGGTATCTCATAAAGCAGATCAAGTGCACACGAAACAGTTTTTCTCCCCCCCCTGAAGTCTTGTCCTTCATTATTGATCAATGCGTCAAAAGATGTTTCAATGCACAGTATACGTCGGAGGTCAAGAGTGAGTGATTTTTGGTGACCCTGACAGCCACCAGTGGCTGATAATTGTTAATCATCACGTGTTTATGCTTATGTGTGTTAGTGTGCCAGAGAGAGAGAGAGAGAGAGAGAGAGAGAGAGAGAGAGAGAGAGAGAGAGACAGACAGACAGACAGACAGACAGACAGACAGACAGACAGAGAGAGAGAGAGAAACGTAAAGCTATCACTTCTTGCCATGTTCTTATTCTCACAATGTACAATGTGGGTTAAAACAAATTTTCGTTCAATAAAATCCCTTGAAAATTGAACAATATTTGCGAAAAGATAATTTTATTCAGGTATATTTTTTATATATAGCTTTTAAATAGTAAAAATTCTAACCACGACCCCGCACTTCAGAAAGTCAAAGTTACACAAGTTACAATTGAGAACATTTTCAGCTGAGTATGGTATTCCGATATTTTATTGTATTACTAATTGTCTTGAAGTGCACCATTCCCTTTGACCTTGAGGGAAGGGAAAGTAGCAACAGACTTGGTTATAGCACCGTGGCTTCAAATACATGTACACCTGCTGGGCCTTTCAAGAGTCAATTAAAGACTTTTCAAATAGGCGTCTAAAAGAGAGCAAAAGTCAAGGTGCCTACCATAAATCTAGTGCTTTATGCAGTAGAACAGGCCCCAAATCAGTAATTGACGAAATTGCTTTTTTTCCCCACAATATATTATAATGAACAAAATCTATTCACTTTAACTTTAACTCTATAATAGTAATAGTGCTTAATTTAGTTGGAGAGTTTTTTAGTTTGATTCAATCAAAAATTTAAAAAATAGGTAAGCCTAAATCTTTATCATCATTGCCTTATAGATTACTATACTACAGGAGACTCCAACTCAACCTGAGTGTCCTGAGTCTGAGACAGGGGCCGGCGATAGTAACATTTAAAAATGTGTCACAACGCGGTAGAACCAGGAACTCATCAATTTTTGGACATATGGAGTTAATGCTATTATCTTACGCTTGTTTATTTGTCTTGCTTTAGGTGAAAAAACCAATCTATTGGCATTGATAATTGCTCAACTGGACCGCGTCACTCTATCGATCAATAAAGACAAAGACAGTTCACTCCTCTATAATTGAGCCAATTAAACGGACTTTGCGATCAGAGTTACCCTACTTGTGTGAAAATATATAATAAAAGTGAAATTAACAAACTATGTGCTATTTCTATTTTTCTTTTGGTGAAACGAAAAAGAGCTTCAATACAAAGAATAGCGTCATCTGAACCAATGTGCGGACTTTCGCGGACTCCTTTTTGGCTGAGTGAACTATTTTGTATGAACGATCTTTGGCCAAGAGACGCTCTATGAGATCAAGATAACTTGCAAAGTCATTGGTCCCTATTTATAACTTTGACCTGTAATTTACTATGTCATTTTCCATATAAGGAATGCTGAAATTATTTTCCATTGAAATAAGGTCAGCGTCTATTCCCTTTATAGCTGTGCACTTCCCAATCGAAGTTGGTCATCACAATATAGGGCCTGCGGGCTTCCAGGGTTTAAGTTTGTCCACTTGTAGAGTCCGGTTTGATAGTTTATGTGCCGCCTTCAAAGCCTAGCAGTCAAGTGGAGGGCCGTACACATAGCCTCCATGCTCTATGCGTACGAGAGAGCCGTACGCTATGCCCCTTTGTAAAAAGAAACAGATGATAGATCTAGACAATCTAGAATCTAGATCTAGATTCTAGGTCTAGTGTCGCGCTGAAAAGGTAAAATTTCACAACATTTCACAACAATTGACCCAAGCCGAAGTGCAGCCCCAGAGAAAAGCTAAATAGTATGCAGACTACATGCAGAGTGCCGTGAACATAGCCTGCAAACTACGTGGGCTACTAAACTACGTATCGTTGCCACTTGTGATGTCATGTAATGTAAATTTTGGCCCACAACTGCAGACGACACAACTGTTGTTAAGTCTAGAGTCTAACCACGTCACTGCGCATCTGTTTGGGTGCGCAACCCCCGGTTTCCTGCTTTGTTTTGGATAAGAACAGCGAAAACGAGGTCACTTTCTGTGAGCATGCGCAGAATGCAGCTTATTTCACTTTCGTTTTGAAGGTTACTGTCAACACACGTGATTCTACAGTGTCGGAAAGTTTTGCCCATTCATATTAATGGTTTTCGTAACCGGTATCGGTGAATTTACTAAGCGCTTGAGTAGTCGATTATTTAGCACATTTAGTTAATCTAGCTTTAATGTATACTAGAATCGATAAATACTATCGCAGGCTGCTTCTTAATGCCCAGGAACATGCCAGATAGGGTTACGCACTGAAGCAGACCAAATTTGTGCATTCCGTTTCAGTGCGCAATATCAGCTTTTTCGCTATTTGGCATTGATAGTGTGGCTTCTAGGCCCTTTGGTTGTTTTACTTATTAAGTTATTTCTTTATGACCTGCATTGTGCACTGAAACAGACTGTTTTCCTTCCATTTGGATGCATTATATTGCCATTGGAAGATGATCAGTTAATGTATTCATGTCAAAATTAATTAATATGGAAATTTAATCTGCAAAATGTTCAATTTCTTCTTTTCATGTCTTTTTCTTCTTCTTTTTTGTCCTTTTCCTTTAAGAATACTAGTCTAGGTATAGTCTAATTCTTGTTTTCTTCTTTCCCCTCCTTGTGTCCACAGCACCTTTCTTTTTCAATTTCTTCTTTTCATGTCTTTTTCTTCTTTTTTGTCCTTTTCCTTCAAAAATACTAGTCTAGGTATATAGTCTTATTCTTGTTTTCTTCTTTCCCCATCTTGTGTCCACAGCACTTTTCTTTTTATCCATTATCAAAACACATACACACGGTGTAAGGAAATTTCCTGTTAGGGGGCGCACAGATCCCAAAAAGAACACACCTCATTGACCTTGGCCTTCCGTTATGGTCAGTACAGGAACTTCTTGCAAGGAAAAGAAGACAAGGCCAGGATAGAAAAAAATGAAAAGTGTCAGAAAAGAGCTAGATCTACCCTTGGCGTCACTTCCAGAGAAGGTGGCCCCAAGAACAAATTTATGCACAACGAATAGATCTAGTATTGCCTACTTATTACAGGCCTACAAACTGTAGACCTACTATATACGCCCCTTCGTTTAATTTTAATACTGATACAGGGCCATCTACTTCCATGCGAGAAGAATAGATAAGTGCCGGTACAATCTTTTATATTATATATAGAGAGAGGAGATCTGTTGATGATAAACAACCAAGTTCGGTGCTTAAGTTAAGATGCGCACAATCACATCGCATCATAATCACACACAAAACAATAACTTCTCACAGATCAACAGAAAAGCACACATTCACAGTCAAGAACACGCATGCACTATTGCCCTCGGGGCGTCTTGACATAATGACCCCATTCCCTGATTCACTTGCAGTTCTGGTTTCCAGAAAGCAGACAATAAAACCTATTTTTAGACAGTTTGCAACCATGCCATGTCCAGGATAACTACCACTCCATCCCCTCCCTACCATACAGGCGTCAAATCCATCTTGGCCCTTAGGCCCAACAGTACAATCTCTTAGTGTGATGGGAGTACCTGTTGTAGCATTTTTGGCTGAGTTACAGGGCTCCCCCTTTCAGACCAACTTAAGAGGTTTCTTCACCCTTTGGTTTTCAATCTTAAGGAGTATTTAAACCCTTGTTTTAGAAACTTAGAGGGTAAAAGTCAATTATCTCCTTATTTTATAGTAAGAATTTTTCCATGTAAACATTTAACTCACGCGCATGCACATTCACACAGACACACACAGAGTGACCATTACTGTGATTGAATGCTAACATTGTTTTAATTAACTTAAGGTTTCTTAGTAACAGCAAGAAATACATGAGTAATATTGACTACCATTAGAGTTGTGTCCATTTGGAGGGGGGAAGGGTGGTGGTGGTTGAGCCAATAAAAAATGAAATAAAGTTGACAAACCAAAAGGGATCAATTCCAACTGTAATGCACAAAGAAAATCAGACCTGCCAATCAATGAAATCTAAAAGTCAGGATCACCCCGGGGCGGTGCCACTGACTGAAATGTCTTTAGGCCATTCCCAAAGGGGGGACATTTCTCGTTCTAGTGCTCAGTAGAATTGTAAATAGGCTGATGTAACAATGTCATACTCATAACTGTGCCTGAACTACGACAGGGAACTGCTGCTTTTTCTTTCCTAATCCTTACTATCATCATTTTCCTCTACTTCTTT